TAATTGCTTGTATTTCTGAGGGATTGGTTGTAATAATTCCATTTTCATTCGTGATGTTATCTATTTGGGTCATCTCTCTTTTCCTTTTGAGAAGCCTGGCTAGAGGTTTATCAATTTTGTTTATTTTTTCAAAAAACCAACTCTTGGTTTCATTGATCTGCTCTACAGTTTTTTAAGATTCTTTATTGTTTATTTCTGCTCTGATCTTTATTATTTCTCTTCCTCTGCTGGGTTTACCCACTGGTCAATTTTGAAAAATTTAAACATCAAGAAGAATGATGATAGTAATGATATTAAGCACATGGAGTTTAAAAATATCCAGGAGTCCAGAGTTATGCTAATTACAGAGGGAAACTATACCTTTAAATGGTGGGATATTATAGTCACTACTGTATCTAAAGATCAAACATAACGTCACCAACAGTGGGCCAAACTTTGATGATGTGCCTCCTGATGTAATGTGGTAACAAGTATAGAAAGTCACCTGGGCTGAATTCTTGCTTAAAAAAAAAAAAAAAAAAAAGTTTAGCTTGAGTCTCACTTGGATCAGCTGGAGGGAGAAGGCACTAAGATTCTTCTTTCGCACCTCTCAGAAAGGAATGCAGCCTTACAGACAGTTTGATTTTAGCCTTCTAAGACCCACGTTAGCCTTCTAACTACAAAACTATAAGGCGACCACTACAAACATTAAAATGCCAAGACTGCTAGGAAAATAGAATAGGAGGATCTGAAGCTCACTTCGTTCCCTGGTCCCATTGGAGCAACTAAGTCAGAAAATGACCCGAAGCCTGGCATTATAGACTTTCCACAGTTAATCATAGAGAGGAGGCCACATGGAAAAGGGTAAGAGGGGCAGAGTCCCAGTGGGGAACCAAACTTTCCAGGAAACTAACCACACAGGGGAGAGACACCACATGCATGTAGGCAGAGGAGCAGACCCCACAGCAGGCACCCTGGACACAGGGACCTGCACTGTAAAGAGTCACCATAATATCTGGCTTTGAAAACAAAACAAAAAGCCAATCTACTGAATGGGAGAAGATATTTGTATAGGTAATATGTCCAATAAGGGCTTAGTATCCAAAATATATAAAGAATGGATAACTCAACACCAAAAAACAAATAAGAAAAAACTGAGCCTGGCTGGCTCAGTCAGTGGAACATGCGACTCTTGATCTCAGAGTCGTGAGCTCAAGCCCCACACTGGGGGTAGAATTTACTTAAAGACAAAACAAACAAAAACCAATAATCCAATTAAAAATGGGCAGAGGACCTACATCTCTCCAAAGAAGATATATATCAAAACCACAAGGAGATAGCACCTCACACCTGTCAGAATAACTAAAATCAAAAAGATAAGAAACCAGTGTTGGCAAGGATGTGGACAAGAAGGAACCCTCGTACAGTGTTGGTCAGAAGGCAAACTGGCATAAACACTGTGGAAAAAAATTAAAGATAGAATTTTTAATTCTCAAAATTAAATTTTAATTTAAAATTTTAAATTAAAAAAAATTTAAGAAACCTTAAAATTCAAAAATTCAAAAAATTAAAAATAGAATTACCATATGGTCCAATAATTTCACTATTGGGTATTTACCCAAAGAATACAAAAACATTAATTTGAAAAAGATACACACACCCCTATATTTATTGCAGCATTATTTATAATAGCTAAGATATGGAAGCAATCCAAGTGTCCATCAATAGATGAATGGATCAAGAAGTTGTATATATCTACAAGGATTATTACTCAACCATAAAAAGGAACAAAATCTTGCCATCTGCAACAACACGGATGGATCTAGAGGGGATGATGCTAAATGAAGTAAGTCAGAGAAAAACAAATACCCTATGATTTCCCTCCGTGTAGAATTTAAGGAACAAAACCAACAAAGAAAAAGAGACAAAAAAAACCCACATCAGACTCAAATACAGAGAACCAGCTGTTACCAGAGAGGAAGTTGATGGAGGGATGGGTGCAATGGGTCAAGGGGATCAGAAATACTTATCGTGATGAGCACTGACCAACATATAGAATTGCTGAATCCTTATATGGTACACCTGAAACTAATCTAACACTGCAGGTTAGAGTTCAATAAAAAAGGTTAAAATGGCAGATTTTATGTTACATATATTTTATCACAAATTTTTAAAAGTTTGTAATGTAATATACTGGATAGCACTGAATCACACACTTTAAATGGTTATATTGCATGGTTGTCAATTCTGTCTCCATAAAGCCTTTAAAAAAAATCTGTTCACAAAATGTCAAAATCCATACCTTTTTAAGTGAAAGATAATTACTTTTGGTGCTTTGGAAATACTGGCCCTCACTGCTGTTTCTTGCTTGGTTTCACAGAACGAACAGTGGATTTGGTTATGCCAGGTCAGTGTATCTTGTTGAAAAAAACACTGGAGACAGTCCTGTTGAGGAAAAAAAGCACTGGGTAACCAAACTGGATGGACCGCAGCCAGGCTCTCTGTTTTCAGAAGGACTTTGCAAGAGTTGTAGAAATGTAATCCTCAGCACTTTCCTCAAAGTCAACATATCCAGGAGGTACCAGTGTCTCAAGCTGCTGCCTGGATAGGTGCAAAATCTACCCGACAAAGGAGATGCTTCTTTCTTGCTTAGTTACTGAAATGGATCCAAGTGCCCATCTCACTTCCAATCTCTGGATCTGCATTTTAACCTTTCTGGTTTATAACAGAATAATACTGACTGTGCAAATTCCACTAAGCAAGTCAGGCAGCTGTTTTATGTGATTCATCTCATCACAAAAGTGATCTGGAGACTGAAAAATTACACTGCCCACTGTTTTGGATAATAAAGACCACAGAACACCCCGAATTAGATCCCATGCCCACCAGGGCCACCCTCAATGGAACCGGCACCCCTGGTCTGCAAACCATTAACCTAAAGAGAAAGATGAGCAGATTCTCTTTTCAGCAGACTTGCCAGCACCTCATTTAGAGTCTTCAAGATCTGTTTCCAGTAATCTTTAGCAGTTTGATCTGAGAACAAAGCCCAGTTCTAAATAAGTGGTAGGATTCTGTTCTCCAATTTGGTATGTGAAAACTTTTAGCAATAAATGTGCTTTCATAATTTAGGTAGAAAAAAAAATAAATGTGTATTTTTCTGCAAGGGAATGTATTCGTCCCTGCCTTCTAGCTGTCCCCTGCTTTCTATCACTATCCTTCCCCCTACCGTTTACAGATTAATTTTTGGTATTATGGTGAAGAAAATTCAAAAGGTAAACTAAGGCACTATATTCCATTCTATCTTTCCAACATATGCCACACAGCTTCCGTCCAAACACAAGAATTCAAAACCAAGTCAGAATCTTCTATATATAGTTACCAACCTGGATCTACAGACCTCGAGGGTGAGGAAGGGTCACAAAATTTTTGCAAGAATGTATGAATTCCCTATATGCACCAAGCCATCTCAGCAGAATGAATAAACCCTACCTGTCATTCCAATTTCACAACGAGGCTGTTTTATTGAGTACATTGGGAAATACAACTGAATTCATGCTAACTTTTGGCTGTATGTCACTTTCCTATCAAATGTTGTCATCATGGGCTTCCAATTTGTTTTAACTTACAAAGCAGCCCCCATCATAATAGAAAATGTAGGCAACAGCCCTGAGAAGTGGGATCCAGGAGGAACCACACCTACCTGAAGAGAGCACTCGTAATCGGATGGAATGGGGAGGCAAAGAATGGTGAAGACTTCATTCTTGTAGGTGCAGTTCTCACACTTCAAACACATGATGCTATAGTTGAGCTGCCCTTCAAACAGCTGGGTGATGATGGAGACCTCATTGGCAATTGTCTTCCTGCAGCACCTTGGAATAGATCCTTTTTCATATGATTTTTGATGGCACTGAGTCAAGGAACAAATTAGCCCTGAATCAACTACTGGTTATTTGAAAAAAAAAAAAAAAAGTTTTTAATACAATGACTTGATTTTTTTCTATCACAATGATACATTGCTACCAAAAACCACTTAGTTTTGGATTCCGACAATAGAGTAAGCTCTTCTTAAGAGTATCTATTAGGTGTGATATCTGATAATTCAGTTATTTTCCTCATAAATGACACCTAGCAATGATGACTCCCTACCCCTGGTAAGACACATGGCCGTGCCCCAGAAGCTGACAGCCTACAAAAGTATGAGACAGGGTCTGGGGGACAGTACTTCTTGGGAAGAGGGTAAGGAAGCTTGCGAACTAGCTTTCAGTCATGCAAACTGATATAAAGGTAAAATAAAGAAATTGACCTCTTCTCCAGCCCCTTCAGATTATGGCAGCCTGATTTAACTAACCTTACAGCCCAATTTGAATCTAGCTCATACTGAGAAGTAGCATTTCTGGGAGCACAGCCTGACTTGTTAGCAGTTTTAGGGCCTCAGTAGAATATACCTTTGGAAGATGCATTGACTCCACGGCCAGCTTTACTTCGGAGCTGCGCGCGCTGCTCTCCGTTGCCTTGCTGCTTTTATTACGCCCTGCTGCCAAGGTCTTCTACCTGATGGTAATTTAATGTCCCTAATTCCAACTTTGGGCTCGGGAACGAGAATGCTATTTATTTCAGATTGGCTGCAGATGAGGACCTAAGTGATTTCACTGACCACCACCCTCCCCTCTGTCAAAAAAAAAAAAAAAAAGTGCCGCCAGGTATATCTTATTAGAAAAAATGAAAAAAGGAACTGAGGATTGCAGATGAGAGTGATTAATGGCTATAGTTTGTGATCTCTGATATTAAGTATTTCTTTAATGTTAAGGATATTAACTTTGAAGTAAGCTAACGCCGGCACAAGGACACTGCATAAAACCAAGGACCTATCTTTGTGGAGTATGCGTCTCAGATCAAGGCTGAAGGCAGTGGGTCTCACAGATAAGGGCAAAACCCTTCGTTACTGGCGATCTCATGTTTTATTAAATGTATGTCCTGATCCAGTAAATAACTCTGGTTTGGAATGCTTGGCATGAAGATGAAACAGCAGTATTTAGATCTTTTAATTCCGAGCTTAACATTTTCTTGGGTTTGTAGTTACCAAGAACACGTACTTTAAGTTGTAAAGCTCTATATGTTATACCTCATGAGGACTATAGTTGTATAAAAATGCAATTTTCACTTTAGAAAACTAGTCCGTGCAGATGTTATTTGCAAAGGGAACCGATTAGCGTTTCCCGCACCTGCTGATCACTGGAAACACCAAGTGAGCTTTACTAAAGGACAGCCCGAGAAGTTTTAATTCAATAACGCTGGAGTGAGGGTCTTAGAATCTGTGGTGTAAAACTCTTCCCAGGTGATTCTGATGATTCACTAAGTTTGGTAAATACAGACCAATTCAAACACTAACTTGAACGTCCCCCTACACATCCCCCAGCACCTGTGCTCAACACAGAGTGGGCAATATTGACAGAAGAAATGAAAGAATGAAAAATGAAAGTAGCCCATAGAGCTGAGGTCTACCTTATTTCAAGTCCATTGATGTCACTTACCTTTTTCAGAGACTCATGAAGCTCATTCAGTACATAAATCAAGAATTCCTGGGCATCTTGTTGCGTTTTTTTCATGAATGCTGGGTAGAGGTTGCCAAAAGCTGACCGAAATATTTCTGGCGAGACGCATTCTGAGTCTCCAAGCCACATATCTGTCATCACGTAGGCAAACGCAGTGGCAACCTCACTGCAATCCCTTGGAAGAAGGAAGGAGAATATTTCTGGCTGATTTAATGAAAGGAAAGCACCTAAAAACTCAAGCATACGTGGCATCAGACTGAAAACAAAGCTCTGTTCTTGGTTGAACTTCCGGTCTCTGGGGCTCTGTGGCCTCTACTGACTTGTTTAGCCCTCATTAGGGACTTCAGAGGGCTCCCTCCCTCACCTCCCCTTGGGGAAGCAGGGGGCGGGGGCTGGGCGGCAGAGAACGCAAATGGCTTACTTTTGAAGAGCAGTAATGTACTTTCCTGAGAGAAAGTATTCCACCAGCGGTGAAATGCTGCAGAGACACTGGAGAATGGCGTTCATGTAACACGTGTTGCCCAAGTTCCGCAGGCCTGTCACTCCCTGGGAATGGGGCTGGTTCTCCTCCACCTCCTTGACTGGAGAGCTGTCATAGTGATCTGTGCACTCTGCGCTGTGTTGGGGCCATGCAGAGAGAAATGAGAGCATTTTGAGGGTATAAAATATGTGAAAGTGACAACAAATCACTCTCAAGCTCATGATACAAAGAAGAGTCCTCAATGAGACTTCTGTCAAATACATTCCCTACCCAGAAAAGAAGTACTCAAACTCAAGGTCTAAAATTGCATTACTTATTCTGGAACTCTGAACAGTGCCTGCAGCCAAATAAAGGGAGGTAGAAGATTCTTCCTGAAACCAGATCAAGAGGACAGAAATAACGGCCTTTCAGAGACCTAGAATTGCTTGGCTAAAACTGCACTTTCACTCTGAATACCAAAGTATTTCTTTTTTTTTTTTTTTTTTTTTTTCCTCTCTGGGCCAAATAATTTAATGATTTGTAGTAACAATAATGGCAATAGATAGTAGTTAATAAAAACAATAGCTATCATGTATTGAGCCGCGCCAGTTGTTAATATGCATTTTCCCATTTAATCCTTTCTATGGGGTAGGTATACTTATTTAAAAAAAATTTTTTTTTAAAAAAAATTTTTTTTTTCAACGTTTATTTATTTTTGGGACAGAGAGAGTGAGAGCATGAACGGGGGAGGGGCAGAGAGAGAGGGAGACAACAGAATCGGAAACAGGCTCCAGGCTCTGAGCCGTCAGCCCAGAGCCTGACGCGGGGCTCGAACTCACGGACCGCGAGATCGTGACCTGGCTGAAGTCGGACACTTAACCGACTGCGCCACCCAGGCGCCCCCAAAAAAATTTTTTTTAATGTTTATTTATTTTTGAGAGAGAGACAGGGCACGAGCAGGGGAGGGGCAGAGCAAGAGGGAGACACAGAATCTGAAGCAGGCTCCAGGCTCTGAGCTGTCAGCACAGAGCCCGATGCGGGGCTCAAACTCACCAGCCAGGAGATCATGACCTGAGCCGAGGTCAGATGCTCAACCGAGCCACCCAGGCACCCCCAGGTGTGCCCTGTTTTTAAATCCTGTTTTACAGAGGAAATATCACATTTAAGTGGTTTAGTCATTTGCCTATGATATAAGTATGTGCAGTGGTATGTGGAGAGAAGGAATACCTATCTACATACCTACCTACCTGAGTTATTTGGATTTATATATCATATATTAAGAGAGTGTATGTGTACACATACATATATATGGCATATGTACATATTGAGAGCATATACACATACTAAAGATATCAACATTAAGAGCACATATATGTGTGTATAATATGTATGTGTGTGTATATTCATATACACACACATATACACAGAGAGAGAAAGAGCATAGGCTTTGTAAAGAACAGATCTTAGTTTAAGTCCTGACTCTGCCAGTTTCTAGTTACACAATGTGGGACACTTATATCTGTGTCTCATCTATAAAATAGGATCAATGCTACCATGTAGGGTTGTTGGGAGGATTAGATTAAATGATGTGAGGCACATGGCACAGATTGCATAGTTAATAAATGGCAACCTAAAAATATTTTTGAACAAGTGACTGATGTAGGCTGTTCCTAACAGTAAGTGTATAGAATTCGAGAATTCATGTGCACAGACAGCCCAGCACAGAGGAGAGAACAGGTTCCCAGGGAGTCCTCCTCTCTCCACACAAGCTTCCTTTTGTAATTTGATTATTGCTCACGGCAGCCCAGCATCTTTGTCCTTTATGATTTTTCTTCCCGTGTACAGTATCTAAAATTGGGTCTCCATGAGACAGTTACCTCACCTCAGTACCTCCATTTACAATTCTGCCAGTTAGAAAAGTGTTCACTATTACATGATGTTCATTTCATGTTTATTGACTGGGGTCATCGGAGGCCCTGGACGGTCCCTCTTTAGGAATATCTATTGCCTAGATATTAAACAACATCTTCCCTTCCTTTTGTGGGCCCTCCACTGGGTCAAGCCTGGGGGAACCCTTCCAAAGGTGGCATGTATCCCCGACTCCTTTGACATGCCCCGCCCCCCAAATGAACTTATCGAGAAAGCTATCGTAGATAGTGGCTCACAGGACATAGTAGATACTGAAGTCATCTGCAGGGCAGGGCCGCTCTGAAGCCATTTTAGTGCATCTACGTTGGACTTTCACTTCTATTCAGGGACTACATCTAATCCTTTTAACTTCATTTCTCTGAGCCTGTTACTTTAGCTCTTTTTGTTTGTAATAAACAATTTGTATGTTTCCCTCCCTTTTCAGTAGATGCAAACTGATTTTTATCTGTACTTCAGGTACATTCCAACTTAGATTTTCCATACATCATAATCATTTCCATTCACCCTCAGGATTCTAGCATGTTGCCATGAGATACTGTTACTCAGCTGCTTAAAAACTTTAAAAACATTAGATTTCAGAGAATGAACTGAACATATAAGCTCTATTCCCCCATCACTCAGTTTCTCTTTTGTGTGTGTGTGTGTAATATATATCTTATATATTACCTCTTGTGCGTGTGTGTGTGTGTAATATATATAAGATACATCATATATATGTATAAGATAGATCAACATATATTATATATATGTATGATCTATCTTATACACATACAGAGAAGATGTGTGTGTGTGTAATATATATCATATATCTTATATATTATCTCGTGTGTGTGTATGTAATATATATCTTATATATATATAAGATAGATCATATATATGATAGATCATATATAGATCTTAGATATATGTAAGATATATATATGATCTAAGATAGATCATATATAAGATATATATATATGATCTATCTTATACACATACACAGAAGATTTACCTCCATAGAGTCCATTATGGCAACTCTGCCTCCTTTTGGTGCCCATCCCCATTCCCAGGGATCACATCACTCCTAGATCCCAAGGGAATATTTCTCACCCTGGGAAGGGAGGCAGTTGGACTTTGCTGCTTCTAAAAATGGATAGCATTGGGATAGACTGGAGTCTTTCTTTTTGTGGTCACCAACTACAGTCCAAAGAGGGTGCAGACATACATATACACCCCACTAAGGCCACCCAGGGCAAATATAAAGTGTTCATCATAGAAGGATTTATAAACTGAGGGGCAGCAAAGCTCACAATCTTCCAAGCTCTCAACCCATTGTCTTCATAGAGAGCCATTCTTAAGAAACCCTTCAGTAGGGGCGCCTGGGTGGCTCAGTCGGTTAAGCGTCCAACTTTGGCTCAGGTCATGATCTTGCAGTTTGTGAGTTCAAGCCCCGCGTCGGGCTCTGTGCTGACAGCTCAGAACCTGCAGCCTGTTTCGGATTCTAGGTCTCCCTCTCTCTCTGACCCTCCCCCGTTCATGCTCTGTCTCTCTCTGTCTCAAAAATAAATAAGCGTTAAAAAAAATTAAAAAAAAAAAAAAAAGAAAGAAAGCCTTCAGTAAAGAGGGACCCACCCCCAACTATGCTCTATCTGGATGAAAAGAGGTCAGAGAGTAGGTGGAACCATGCAACCTGGGTAGGGAAGTGGTCTTGCTAGAAAGAGGACCCTCTGGAGCTCCAAATTTGGTACCAGTTTGTTCTTTTTCTGAGCTAACTCAGAATCTGTGAAGAATGGTGAAGAAAGAGCCTTAGGGCCAATCCAGTTTGTCTTTTCTCAATTCTGCATTAAGTAAAATGAATGAAGTAATAAAATAACAACTTTTCAAAAATGTAAATTTCAGGAAAGATAAAGAAGGCTAAGAACCATAACAGATTAAAAATAAACTGGAGGGGCTCCTGCGTGGTTCAGTTGGTTAAGTGTCAGACTCTTGCTTTCAGCCCAGGTCATGAGCTCATGGTTCATGGGATTGAGCCCCGCGTCGGGCTCTGTGCTGACAGCATAAAGCCTACTTGGGATTCATTCTCTCTCCCTCTCTCTCTCCCTCTCTTTCTCTCTCTCTCTGCCCCACCCCCATTTGTGCTCTCTGTCTCTCAAGTAAATAAACATTAAAAAAAAAAGAATGATTGTTCTTCAATGTCTGTATATATAAGAGATCTTGGCAATGAGAGATGTTGCGTTTTATGGCTATTTTATATTTGTGGTCTATTTAAAAGGGGTTCATGAAGTCACCTGAGTGGTGATTCCACAGGACTTGAATCTTGTCACTCTGCTCCTTTGGTCAGTGTACTTCTCCCAAATACTTCAGTTTCTCCCCATCAGTGGGGTCTTGTTAAAATTTCATTTTATGATTGATGCTTATAGGTAAAAACACAACACATATTCGTATGTTGATATTATATCCAAGGACCTTCCTAAACTCAGTCTATAATTTTTATATAGGTTCTTTGGATTTTCTGTAAACATTCAAGTCATCTGCCAAAAATAAGTCTTACGTTTTCCTTCCCAATCCTAATACTTTTTATTTCCTACCTTGTGAACTAATTAGCACCTCCAGTAAAATGCTGAATAGAAGTGGGGATAGTAGGCATCCTTAGCTCACTCCTGAACTAAGAAGGAAAGCTCTGAATAATTCACCATTATGTATGATGTTTGCTAAAGGCATAGGTTTTTTGGAGAATTGTCATCATGACAGACATTGAGAGTGATGAGGTTCTTCTGTATCTTTTGAGGCAATCATGAGAGTTTTCTTCTTGTAGTCTGCTATGATGATCACATATTAAACCAATCTTCTGTTCCTCAGATAAACTTACCTTGTTAGTGATGTAGTATTTTCACAAATTGCTGGATTCTATTTGTTAATCTTTTATTCAAGACTTTTGTATCTATGCTCATGAATAAAAGGAGTTTTATGTTAGTGTTCTGTGCTGTGTAACAAGTTATCACAAACTTAGTGGTTTAAAACAACACATATTTTATTATCTTAGTTTCTGGAAGTTGGAGTCCAGACATGGCTTAGCTGGAATCACATGTTGCATTTTGTTGTCATGTCTCTTTAGGTCCTTCATCCTATAATAGTTCTTATGCATCTCCTTGACTTTCAAGAACTTGATACTTTTCAAAATTTCTGGCTAGTTATTTTGAAGAATATCCCTCAGTTTGAGATATTTCCTAAGATTCATACTATGCATTTCTAATATCACAGAAGTAATGCTGTGCTCTTTTTACTGCATTGTACTAGGTGCTACGCATTTTTGATTTGTCTCAATACTTGTGATATTAGCTGTAATCACTCACAAAAAGTGAGGTCTGCCAAGTTTCTCTACTGTAGTTACTTTTCCCTTTTGTAATCAGTATTTTGTAGAGAGAACTTTGAGACAATGTAAATGATCCATTCCTTATCAAACTTTCACAAACTAGTTTTAACATTAATTGATGTTGCTTGGCTAGATTAATTATAACTATGGTGGTTGCCAAATGGTCGTTTTATAATGCCATTATTCCAACTGCATTCATCAATTGCTACCCTGCTCTAAAGAGAAGCTTTTTCTTTTCCCTGTTTATTCTTTTAACCAGTGTGGACTCATGAATTCCTACTTTATTCGATGGATTATAATGTTACCATTATTTATTTTTGATATACAAAGTGCCTCAAGATTAGCCAGCAGAGGGCTCTTCAAGATGTTTTCTGTACCTGTTTGACGGGTCCCCATCATTCTTTGAACACTTCCTTATTTTTGGCACGTGAGATCTTCCAGACATAACCTGCCCCAGTCCTAGAGTTAGTCATTTCTCGAAGAGCCCTGGTTCCTTTTAGAGAATAGTATTTAGAATAGAGATGCAGAAGCTAGATGTACTCATGCTATTGCAGTGTCACAACCCTATCATCTTCAGTGTTTCCTTATGTGATCAACTCCTCTACATGTAACTCATCTGTTGCTGCTACCCTCCCAACCACATACACCACACATACCTCATCCTCACCCTGCTTTTCTGACACCTCACACAAGGCCTACCTAAATTGATCTCAACTAATGGCTTCTAAACTAAATTGTGAATGGATAAAAGAAGAAAAAAAAGGGACCTGGCTCTGTTATTGCCTGCTTCCTTCTTTGATGGATTACGTTTTTAAAACTTCCCTTCCCCTCAGACTCTTTTTTTTCTTTCTAATTGTCGAGAGAGTGCACATTGTTTTTATATTCTTGGATTGTTTCCTTTAAATATTTCAACAAATACTCAAGGAGCCCTTGTTATCTTAATCTATCTGGGTCTAAAGTTGGAATAGCAAGGGATACCATTATTATCCCAACATACTTTTTTTAAATGTTTATTTATTCTGGGGGAGGGGGAGAGAGAGGGAGAGAAAGAAAATCCCAAGCAGGCTCCGCGTTGTCAGCTCAGAGCCCAACATGAGGCTGGAACTCACAAACTGAGATCACAACTTGAGCCGAAATCAAGAGTCAGACACCTAACCAACTGAGCTATCCTGGTGCCCCTTAACCTATTTGGTTTTTAAGATCTGGATGGCTTGTCATAACTCTGTATGAAATTTTGTTTGGTTCCTTGAGATCACATACTGAGTCAGGATAGCAAGGTTACTCATGCTTAAAATTACTTTTTGATCAATTAAGATCTGTAACTTTACCCAACTGGATGAGATCTTTAGTGTGCTTAACTACCATCTTCCCCTGAATCTTCTTTTAATATTTAAAAATGTTTTATTCTAGTTTACTTTAAAATTTTATATCATATATAAATATTTTCCAGCAAGCATTTGAATTTGTACATTTTATGAATATTTGCTTTTCTCTATATCTTTTATCTCATGTCTTCCCATTTAGATTTTTTCTTTTTGATTGAGTAAATCCTTGATTAACATTTTCCAAGAAAGTGGTGAACTTTCTGAGAATGCCATCACATGGCTGGGCTCAATGTCCTCCCTTTCTCCTAATAATATTGCTTTACTGCCTCTTGGATACTATATGACAGAAGAAAATTCTTTTGTCAATCTGATTTTTTTCCTTCATAAACATTATATTATTATTATTATTATTATTATTATTATTATTATTAGCTACTTATTTGCAGAGTTACCAAACTGTGGCCTGAAGTAGGTACTTCTATTTTTTTCCTTTCTAGGTCTTGCATTCTGGAACTCCTATTAAATAGTTGTTGTAGCTCATTCATTAGTCCAGAAAATATCTATTGTGCATCAGCTCCGTGTCGGTCACTGGGCTAGACGTTTAGTAATGAATAAAATACAATTCTTTACCTTAATACAGCTTACAATATGTTGATCATTTGGATTTATTCTGCTTTCAATTCTTCCCACATATCTTGCATTGTTTTAACTTTCTTACACTGTTACGATTGAGCACTTGTAAAGTTACTTTATTTGAATTATCTTGATGTTTTAGATTTACATTTGTGCTCACGGC